ACATAGAGTCTAAGTATACTTAACATAGTAAATATCTTAAACATCAAATTCTTTTACTTCTAGGAGAAGGGTCAGCTTTCTTATTAGCTAACAAGTAGCACATTTCCTGCTTATTTTGCCTGAGAAAGACATTTGTGGCAGAACATAGATCTACAATGTGCCCCTCACACTCTGCGTCTGGAATTTGCCTATATAAACCACTGGAACGCAGTGTAAGCAGTGTGAAGGACGGAGTCAGGATTCCAGGAGGCTGAAACACAGAGCAAGTCACTCTGATGCAAAAACTCCACCCTGACTTCTTTGGGTTGTTTTGGAAGAGGTCAGAGAGTGGATGGACTCAAACTGGCCCCCATCTGGGTGCAGCAGACCTCTGTCGGCTGTCTGCTCTGCCTGCTCAGACAGGAGGACTCAGCTCTTCCACTGTTTTGTCCCTGCTCTCTAGTGCTAAGATTACAGGTGTGAGCCACTGTGCCCTGTGTTGGAACCTTACTTTTAAAGAAAAACAACTACATAACTGTGTACATTAATGCATTTATGGGGTACAATGTACTAATTTTATATATAATTTGGAATGCTTACATCAAACTGGTTAACACAGCCTTCACCTCACTTACTTATTATGTTAAGACATTTATATTCTACTCTTATTAGGTTTGACATATACCCTTGCAATATGTACCATACGTGAGGGACCACCAATTACCCTCCTGACACCTGGCCTCCCACCTCCCCTCCCCTCATCCTCCTCTGTCCTCTTTCATCCTGGGCTATAGTTGTGTTTTATCTTTCATATGAAAGTATAGGTGATTATATATTGTTTTCATAATAGTACTGAATACACTGGATACCTTTTCTTCTATTCTTGAGATACTTTACTAAGAAGAATGTGTTCCAGCTCCATCCATGTAAACATAAAAGAGGTAAAGTCTCCATCTTTTTAAGGCTGCATAATGCTCCATGGTATACATATACCATAGTTTATTAACCCATTCATGGGTCAACTGGGACTTGGACTTCTTCCACAACTTGGCTTCTATGAATCGGGCTGCAATAAACATTCTGGTGCAAATATCTTTGTTGTACACTTAGGGAACTAAAAGTACACCTGCTGTTCGATTCTGCAATTCCTCTACTAGGTATATATCCAGAAGACCAAAAATCATTTTACAACAAAGATCAGCATCCATTTCTAATTAGAACACTTAAGAATATAGGCATAGGTGGCCCATTTCTGAATTTGATCAAAGCCATTTACAACAAACCCACAGCTAATATTATACTGAATGGGGTAAAACTGAAAGCTTTTCCACTTAGAACTGGAACCAGACAACACTGTCCTCTATTGCCAGTAGTATTCAACATAGTGCTGGATGTTCTAGCCAATACAATCAGGCAAGAGAAGGAAATAAAGGGCATCTAAATGGGTGCAGAGAAGGTCAAACTCTCCCTCTTTGTTGACGATAAGATCTTATACTTAGAGAACCCCAAAGACTCAACCACAAGACTCCTGGAAGTGATCAAAAAATACAGCAATATCTTAGGATATAAAATCAATGTCCACAAATCAGTAGCCTTTGTATATGCCAATAACAGCCAAGATGAGAAGCTAATCAAGGACACAAATGCCTTCAAAAAAATGAAGCTTCAAAAAAAAAACTGAAACACCTAAGAATGTACATAACAAAAGAGATGAAGGACCTTTACACAGAAAATTATGAACCCCTAAGAAAAGAAACAGCAGAAGATATTAACAAATGGAAGAACATACCATGCTCATGGCTGGGAAGAATGCACATTGTCAAAGTGTCTATACTACCCAAAGCAATCTACAGACTCAATGCAATCCCCACTGAAATAACAGTATCATACTTTCAAGATTTGGAAAAAATAACTCTTTGTTTTGTATGGAACAAGAAGAAACCCTGTGTAGCCAAGGCAATTCTTAGTAATAAAGGCAAAGCCGGGGTATCACCCTACCAAACTTTTGGCTACATTACAAGACCATAGTGACCAAAACAGCATGGTATTGGCACAAAATTGAGACATCAATATTTGGAACTGAATAGAAAACCATGAGATAAAACAAACCTCTTTCAGCCCTGATCTGTAAACCAACCAAAAACACACAATGGGGAAAAGAATCCCTATTCAATAAATGATGCTGGGAGAACTGGATGACCACATGTAAAAGACTGAAACTGGACCTATATCTCTCAACACTTAAAAAAGTTGATTCAAGGTGGATAAAAGATTTAAGTCTAAGACATGAAACGATACAAATCCTTGAATAAAGTGTGGGGAAAACACTTGAACATAATAATGGCCTGGGGAAAGATTTTATGAAGAGGACTTCTGTGGCAATTGCAACAACAAAAATAACCAAATGAGAATTAAACTGAAAAGCTCTGTACAGCTAGGAAAATAATAACCAAAGCAAACAGATAACCTTCAGAATGGGAAAAGATACTTCTGTATTATCAATCAGACAAAAGCTTGATAACTAGGATCTATAGAGAACTCATATTAATTAACAAAAAAAAGACCAAACAATCCCGTATCTTACTGGGCAAGAGACATTAATAGAACCTTCTCTAGAGAAGCTAGAGGAATGGCTAACAAACATATGAAAAAGTGCTCACTGTCCCTAATCATCAGAGAAATTCAAATCAAAAATATCCTGAGCTATCACCTAACCCCAGTGAAATTGGCCCACATCACAAAGTCTCAAAACTGTAGATGCTGGTATGGATGTGGAGAGAAGGGAACACTTTTACACTGCTGGTGGGACTGCAAACAAATACAACCTTTTTGGAAGAAAGTATGGAGACTCCTCAAAGAACTCAAAGTAGACCTTCCATTTGATCCTGCAATCCCATTACTAAGCATCTATCCAGAATAAAAAAAAATCCTTTTACCATAAGGACATTTGCACTAGATTATTTATCACAGCTCAATTTACAATCACCAAAATGTGGAAACAGCCTAAATGCCCACCAACCCAGGAATAGATTAACAAGCTGTGGTGTACATTTACCATGGAATACTATTCAGCCACTAAAAAAGATGGAGACTTTACATCTTTTGTATTAACCTGGATGGGGGTGGAACACATTCTTGTTAGTAAAGCATCACAAGAATGGAAAAGCAACAATCCAATGTACTTTATTCTAATATGAAGGCAGTAGGTGAGCTAATACAAGGTGGGGACAGGTGTAAGGGAATGAGCAAGTGGGGAGAGGGGAGGAAGGAGGGAGATAGAGGGTCACAGTATATGGCACACCTCTTAGGGGCAGGACACAATTATAAAAAGGACTTTATCTGGGTGGTGCCTGTGGCTCGGTGGGTAGGACCTCAGCCCCATATACCCAGGGTGGTAGGTTCAAACCCAGCCCTGGCCAAATTACAACAAAAAAAATAGCTGGCCATTCTGGTGGACGCCTGTAGTCCCAGCTACTTGAGAGGCTGAGGCAAGAGAATTGCCTAAGCTCAGAAGTTGGAGGTTGCTGTGAGCTGTGTGACACCACAGCACTCTACCAAGAGCAATAAAGTGAGACTCTGTCTCTACAAAAAAAAAAAAAAAGAGAGAGAGAGAGAGATTTATCCAACAAATGCAATCAGTGTAACCTAACTCTCTGTACCATCAATGAATCCCAAGCAATAAAAATAATAAAAAATAACTCCCATGCCTTCCTTTGTAAACTATTTGGTTTCTCCTTTATATTGTTATACAGTTATGCTCTTTTTATAGTTACACTTTATCTTTTTACCAAAAGTATGTGCCCATTATATAAATATTTTTTAACCTTTCCTTAGAGGTTCTACCAGGGGAGCACAGCTACTCATATACCCTTGACCAAAGGACAGTCCTCCTCTATCGGCGAAAGTCGTCCTCTTCAACCGAGCACGCAGCTTCGGGAGGGACACACGTGGAGTGGTGAGGAAGGGGACACCCGCCTAGTCAGCCAGATCAGCCAAATCAACCCTGGCAATCAATGGGGTGACAGATGTTGCAGCCAGATCACCCTCACATCCAGATTTTTTAACTTTCTTGAAAGCATAAAAAGGCAAAAGTTTTCCTAAATAGTTACTAAATGTTTAATTGCCATTCATAGCTAGAGTGTTTATGCTTGAAAACTTGCTACCATCACAACTTTAATCTCTCATCGATAATTAACAAAGACATAAAACTGAGTATTCAAGGAACACGATTACCACTGCTAAGCAGCCACCTGCTGTCTTTAAGCACATTCTACCCTCAGGAACCATACCTGGTCTGCACTATCACAGCTGTCCTCTGTCATGCAATGCCTCCTTCTACTAACCACCAGGGAAAAAGAGAAACGCAGGCGTAAGTAAGTTAATCCATTTTTTACTTAATTTGTGTTTGCATGTTGGGATAGAAAATAAGATTCAATAAGTGAGCATAATTCTCACTTAGATCTCAGTAGATATTACAATTTTCAGGTTTTATCATCTTTCTTGTCAGAATTCCTTTCCTGTAGATGACAGATCCTCATTGACCTGCTTGTTCTTTGATCTGTTTGTGCTGGTATCAGCCAAAAGAAGTTATTCAAGTCTTTACTTCATTTAAACTAACATCTGGAATATTAGCAAGTATGGACACCAAAAATATCACACAGAAATTAAAGTGATTTATAATTTCTTTAATCTTTACTCAACCACTAAGGATTAGGTAGATGGTAAAATTATGCTTAATTTGAAAATAACTTTTGAAAAGTACCTAGAAATAGTGCTTATATATCTATCATAGTATGTCCTGGTAAAAAACATAGAATATTTATGTAAATAAAGTATGTCTATGAAAATCCTACTTTTTATTCCCAATCTTTCTGAAAATGTGATATAATTTTCCTAAAATGATCACTAGTACACATTAAAATTAGTATGTAACAGAGCATTGTATCTGACCTAAGAATTTAAGTAGTTATTTCTTTTACAAAACAAGAAAGTAGTAAGTAAAAAGAAACTTGTCCACTGACCAGCTTTTCAATTTCTGATTCAAGGTTCTGTATGCAGTCAAGTTTTCTCTTGCGACAGCGCTGTGCAGCAATTCTGTTTTTACTTCTTCTTCGAATATCATGGATACAATCCAGCTGTTCTGGAGTCAGCTTATGCATTTTTAACAAGGACTGAAAATCATTTCGAGAGAGTGATATTATCCGTTGTGCATTGAACGGCAGTTTTACCTAGAAGGTAAAATAATCCTTAGTAATGATTGGGGTATTCTGTAATTATCCTTAAATCTAAGAAGGTGAAGATGTACATTGAGGGTGGCTTTTCAGAGAACTTCAGATTTGAAAAAAAAAAAAATAAGACTCTATTCCCAATCGCTATACAATCCATAGTAATAAATGTTAATACAATTGATATTTCTAGTCTATTTCAGAAGAAAATTGAGAAGCAGGTATTTTTAGCACATCAAATATATTTCACAGATTGTTAACATATTTAAATGGAAGAACAGAATTTAAGTTATTTTACTATTACATGTTAACACCCCACAGATGTTTTACTCAACCTAAAAATGAAATCTATTAATTATTTGAATGGCATTACTATGCAGCACTGACTTAATAGTGGTGTAATTATGCTAGTAATTTCTAAAGCATTTACAAAAATTTATTTTTCTGTCAAGAAAATGGGAACCATATATAACTCATTCTGAAAGCCACACATTTCACTTGCTAATGCAGAAAGAGTTTAGAAAAGTCTTATGAATATTTTAAAATCATCTTGAACATACTTAAATTTGGAAAAAGATAACTGTTTTAAAAAACAATAAAATTGAGGAAGTTTAAATGTATTAATTGTCAAAAACACAAAGGAAACGTGGGTCAGTTTCCTGGTCATAGTCTGGCAACCTATGTAGCTTGCCTTTCACGCCTACAGGAATTACATGACATGTTTTAAAATGTTTTATTTTTAGCATTCTTTTCACAGTAATTCCAAATGCTACATTTATAAATGTCATAAAAATCTATAGATACAAACATATACACATATTAGTTCCTAAATTAAATTCAATACACCCTCTTCCACAGCTAAGGGGGAAAAGGTGTCTTCCAAACCTGTCATCCAACAGCTACAACACCAGAGAAAATGCTAAAGAACAGGATGTGTGGAAAATGGATCCCTGGTGTACTGGCCCTAGGAAAATGGTACAGATGCTACGTAAAATAGTATAGAGGTTCCTTGAAAAATTAAAAATGTGACCACCATATGATCCAGGAGTCTCACTCCTGAGTATAACTAAAATCAGGATCACGAAGGGATGTCTGCACTCCTCTATCCACTGCTACACTACTCACAAAGCTGAGAGGTGGAAACAACCTAATAATGTCCACGAGATGAATGGCCAGATAAAGAAAACCTGGCAGACAGATGAACAAATACCACTCAGTCTTATAAATAGGAAGTCCTGACATTTGCTACAGTAGAGATGAACTTGACCGGCATTATGCTAAGTGAAATAAACCACACACAGGACAGCTAATCCTACATGATCCCACTTAGACGAAGCATCTAAAATAGTCAAACTCATAGAAACAGACAGTGGAATGGGAGTTGTCAGAGGCTGGGCAGAGGGGAAAATGCAGAACTGCTGTTCAGTAGGTAAAGTTTCAATGACAGGAGATGAGTGAGTCACTGCTAAAACACTGCTCAGTGACAAGATCCAAGTCCAGACATCCTTGTGGCAATGAACAAGACTGAATAAACGCTGTATTTTTCATGGAGCTGTCAAGGAATAACCACAGAATCATTCTTTTTTCTCTTGGGACATGGCATTTGATTTAAACAGTTACATGGCCCAGGTGTGAACCTACTCTATGGTTAATATAAATATGCTTACTTGAACTGCATGAAGAGACAAGTCCTTCAAATCTCATCTCTTTCAGTATTTATCGTAGTCTTGCAGTTAACTGCCTATGAGATTCTTCCTCCCTCCCTGGGCCTGCCCATAGCCCTAGTGATACAATGAGAGCTGACCCAGAGCAAATCTCAATGTCGGATAAACAAGGAAGGAAGAACATCTCACCTCACATTCTTGTTCTCTGGCTGAACAGGACTCGCTGTCCCCTTCTGTGTCCGTCTCAGAGTCATCTCCCAAGCTAATTACACAAGTATACGGACAAGGTTCCTGCTGGGGTTCTGAAACATAATCATCGTTTCCAATTTCCAAATTGCTCGAACAGGCTTCGGTACTCAGAGTACTTATAAAAGGGCAGTTGACAGAACTCAGTGTTGTGAAAGTCCTCTGACCTGGTTCTGGGCTCTCACTGATCCTGATCCCTAACCAGGGACACTCAGACCGCTTCTGTGAGTAGCTCTGTTCTGAGCCATCCTTGGCCACGGCAGGTGATAACTGAGCTTGGCAAGGAGAGTCCGTGCTACAAATGTCACTCCAGAAGCCCTTCGCTAGGTGTTCCGCCACTTCTCGTTCTACACTGCTCCGGTCGCCAGAGGCAAGGCTACTATCTTCCCTGGGACCTGAGTCAGATTTCAGATGTAAATCTTGACTTTCACCAAACGTTTTCTCATCTTGAATGTCTGTACCCGACAAAGGCTTTTCTGTTATCACCGCTGTGTTCTGCATATTGGCAAAATTCAAGTCACCATATTGGTCATATGTTAAAAGAGACAGAGAATAGAGTCCGTGAGGGTCTGTGGAAGAACCGTAGGGGAAAGGAGTCTCTTCTGTTTTTTCAGTTGGGCACTGAGAAACAGGATCTTTCTTCTTTGTTTCTTCAGGGTCCATTGTCAATTTACTTTCTTCACATTTTAAAGCCACCTGCAAATCCACACACTCCAGGGCCCCTCCTGGGCACTCGCTTTCGGGGGTCTCATTTGGCTGCAGAGAAGTACGAGCGTCTTTGACACTGGATTCCACAGTGCGGACTCTGTCAGTTCCAAATGCTTTTTGGAATTTTCTATATTTGGGGCATAAAGATGGCAAAGTTAAAGCAGCGTCCTTTTCGAAGCACATGGACTCGCAGGTTTGACTGGCACTGTCTTGCAGAGGAGGTGATACTTTTGCATTTCCTGGAGAAACGCAGAGTTTATATTGAGGAGTCTGAACATTTTTATTTTCCAGAAATTCCTTCACTTCATCAATTTCTAGATCCCTCTTGTCCAAAAGTGAAAATTTAAGGTCTGTCTTTTGACAGTGTGATGGAAAGCACTTTTTTCTCGACCATTCTGGCTGGTTTGCAGTAGACTCCAAAAACTTAAATTTGAGAAACTGAAAGCAGGATTCCTCAATATTATGTACACTTAAAAATTCCACACACTTGCACACTTCATCCACATTGTCTTTACTTAAAATCAGTTTAGCAGTGTATGCAAACTGAATTAAAGGTTCAAATCCTTTAACGGTCACCTGTTGATATACAAAATAAAAACAAATGCATCATTTAAAAGCTTTCTGGTAGGTAAAAAGGAAAGAAGAATAGAAAGATGTAAAACTTATTTGTGATAATTACAAAACAGGAATTTTAATTTGATAAGAAAATATTCTTCCAGGCATTGTAAAACAAAGGGAGACCAGATAGCTTATCACACCCTGTTGGCTGAAACCCTCCATTCACAGAGTCCACTCTTGATTGCACATGGATTATGATTTGCTCAGATGAAGAAAAGACATGAGACATTACCACAATCTTCCCATGTCAGCAGAAATTAATCATCTATGGAATAGAGCAGGACAGTCACCACTTGCCACATATACAGTGAGCGCCAGGGGTCTGTTACCAGCCCAGCTCAACCACTCCGACTGCTATAAAGTACAGAAGTTCCCTTTTTAAGTATTAAAAGACAATACACATGAAGCACTTACAAAGAAGTCGTGACCCAGGTGAACGCGTAGTAAATGGCAACTATTATAACTTTCACTAATGCCAAAAATTTCTAAAAAGAAAATATTAAGGTACAGGTTTTAAAAATTGATCTAAGTGAAGTTTCAAAAATCATGCCTCGGTACTATTTCAGCAAAAATTCATGGACCCTAGGTAACAAAATCTTTAAGCAGAAATTTGCCCATTTACACTAAACCTGCTTCTGCAGGCTGAGGGATAGATGGAGCCGTCAGAAGCCTCAGAGGGGGTTAAATCACAAAACCCATTCACTGAGTTCCCATAAGACTGATAGAGATATTTTTAGTGTAATGATCTTAAAAACATGCTCAGCTATGAGTATTTAACTTTAATGGCTAAAATAAAAAAAAGTGATACCACCAACTGCTGGTGAAAACACAATAGCTGATCACTCCCACGTCAGCAGTGGGAGCATCGAATAGTACGGCCACATTGAAAAACAGTTTGGTCGTTTCTTATAAAACTAAACAGGCAGCTACATTTGCCTCAGCAATTGCTCTCTTGGTCCTTTATACAAGAAAAACAAAACACAGGGCAATGCCTGTGCCTCAGTGGGTAGGGTGTCTACCCCATATCATATGCTGAGGGTGGCAGGTTTAAACCTGGCCTCGGCCAAACTGCAACAACAAAAAAACAGCCGGGCATTGTGGCAGGTGCCTGTAGTCCCAGCTACTCAGGGGGCTGAGGCAAGAGAATGGCCTAAGCCCAAGAGCTGGAGGTTGCTGTGAGCTATGACGCCAGGGCCCTTGCTACCAAGGGAAACAAAGTGAGACACTGTCTCTAAAAAAATAAAAAAGAAAGAAAGAAAGAAAAACAAAACACTTATGTTTACACACAAACCTGCAGACAAATGTGCACAGCAACTGTATTTGTAATAGCCCCAAACTAGACTTAGCCTGGTTTTCTTCATAGGTGAAAAGTTCTTTTTAAAAACCAACTGGCACTCTGAAATATACTTAGCAATAAGTAGAAACAAACTATTGATGCACACAACTTGGATAATCTCAACAAAGTGGAAAAAAGTCAACCCCAAAAGGTCACATACTATAATTCCACTAATACAGTATTTTTTGAAATGGCAAAACTTTACAAAAGGAGACAGCTTAATGGCTGCCAGAATTAGAGATGAGGGAAGTGTGAGGGGCTGAAGGGCTGAAGGGTGGGAGGGATGGTTATAACAGGGAAGAAGGGGTGTTGGATACTCAGTAGCTTCACTGTTGACAGATACACAGACCTTCATAGCTAACAAGATGCAATTTATACATACTCAGATTAGTACAGGAGTTTTCAACCACTGTGCAGCCACACTGGTGTGCTGTGAGAGGTTCTGAGGTATGCCTTGAAAATTTTTAAAGATCAGTAATTAAATTATTTTTGAAAGAAGTTCAAAGCACAATAAGTAATTGGGTTTTTTCTATTTTCTCTTTTCTTTGATCAACATGATTTAAACGTGCTGTGGAAGGAAGTTTAACTATAGGTTCTAATGTGCCGTGAGATAAAACAGGTTGAACACACTAGATTAGTACAAATAAAACTGGAGCACTGAATACATGGGTGGATCCTATCCACGTCAATACCATGGTTGTAATATTATGCTGTGATTCTGCAAAATGTTACTACTATTGGGAGACACTGGGCAAAGTACAAAAGGGAACTTTCCACATTATTTCTTACAGCTGGATATAAATTTACAATTATCTCAAATTCTGCTTTACTTAAGAAAGTCTTGTGAAATAATTTGAAAATATGAATGATAAATATATTTCCATTATAATACGCATTTTTCCTTCTTTGAATCAATGCTATGCTATGCTATAGGTTGGCCTTTTTGTCCCATTTTCTTGATATTGCACTCTTCACTCTGACTTCTGCCACAGAAATGACAATCTATCTGTTCTCAAAACCACAGCTACAATTTCATAGCAGTTTGCATAGCCAGCAACAAGCTAAACTACAGTTTACCTGTACCCAACAGGGAACAGCCTATACAGCCCAATCGTCATACACAGAGAAGTTCTAGGTACTCCACATTCCTCTTACCAACCTCTGTGTCCCAGCACCAAATGCTAGATGCTCTGCTACCACTGACTAAAGGCAGCAAGCCGTCTTAGTGAGAATCGGGTGACCACCAGGCCTCCACCCTAAGGAGGTCTCTTTGAGGCAGGACATTAACAAAGACAAACATTTATGAGCTTGACTCTACAACATGCTGGGGGAAAGTACATAAAACTAAGTCTCTATAAATAAGATACAAACCATTTTTTTTCCTATCAATACATAAAGACAATCTCAAGAAAACAGAAAGAGAAAAGACAGAATACTTAGGGAGCATCTTCTTTTCATGGGGACTGTCTTGGAGAAATGGACATGTTACAGAGCCCTAGGTATAGCTGGTGAATACAGGAAAAGGCCCATAGGGAGAGAATGTGACACTGCCTGGCCTCTCTAAGCTGTGACTTGTCCACATGTCTATAATTCACTATGTGTGCCCGGATTTATTTTATCAAAAATAACGTAAGTGGGTCAAGTTATTCAATTGTTCAATAAACACTGTTAACTAACATCTCAAGTTAATGATTTCACATGAAAAAAAAGCTGAAGAAATGGTTTGCTGCAGAACCTGCAAAATGTCTTGACCTCTTGACAAGGACACGGTACTTTATTTTTAACTTTATAATCCATAAGAAACTTAAGAAAAATTAAATTAAAATCACCAGGAGCACACTCTCTCACCTCTTCCGGCAGGGTGATGTTGAGCTCCGCGTCAGCCTGGCCCACGACTCTCGAGTGGAAGTAGCTGCTGCATGCCGCCAGCACTGAACGGTGGGCGCGGAACCGGTGGCCCTCCACGAAGACGGTCACGTCGCACAGCACGTCCTTCTTCCTCTGATCGTTGAGGCTGAGCAAGACGTTGGTGCTGTGCACGGAAGACTCGTAGGCAAAAACCGAGTTCTCACTCACAGACATTCTGTGTAAGAAATGGTGTCCAGGGAAGTTCAGCGGAAAGCATGCTTCTAATTGTCATCAACCTGCAAACACACAGGCAATATTTCATTTAAATAAAAACATGTTCTGAAATGTTTTTAAAAATGCCAGATTGTGAAACATAAATTAAAATACATACTCATTGCTGAAACAAAAATGAAAATAAAAACCTCCAGACAAACAACCTAGAAATATTTATTGACTTTACCATACCAAACAGGCTCCCGATAGCAGTATTTCTAACGAATTTTAGGGCAAGTTTCTTGGAGTGAGGGAGGGAAGAACTTTCTGACCCAAGGATTTTACGGCTCTGTGAAAGTGAGACATCTCACAGTGAGAGGACATCCTGTGAGCAAACTGACGTCTGGGGTGGGGGCATCTAAACCCTGCCACTTCAAGACAGTGTAGGGGGGGCCCAGAGGTCACAGGGGCATCTAAACCCTGCCTCTTTAAGACAGTGTAGGGGGGGCCCAGAGGTCATAGGGGCATCTAAACCCTGCCTCTTTAAGACAGTGTAGGGAGGGCCCAGAGGTCACAGGGGCATCTAAACCCTGCCGCTTTAAGACAGTGTAGGGGGTGCCCAGAGATCACAGGGGCATCAAAACCCTGCCGCTTTAAGAAAGTGTAGGGGAGGCCCAGAGGTCACACTTTAGGATGAGACTCAACAGTAGGACAGGCCTGCAGCATTCCACTTTCTCTCAGTCCCATCCCTCAACATTTGACAGTGAGTGAGCTTAGTGCTTATAACAAAGGGCACCTTCTAAAAGGTAAAGCTCCTCAAGGAAGAAAATGACTCAAATTTGTCAGGCCAGATCTTGGCAATTAGTCTTTTTATACATTATCTTACTTTATACTACAAACACAGGCAACAAGCAAACTACCTCCTCCCTAGAAACTTTTGGTTTTCCCAATATGTTAAAACATAAGAGATAGTTATTTAAAGTTCATATTTTTTAAAACACATACTAATATGTCCCCAAACCTTGTTTGACCCCATATACACTTTTGCCAAAAAAATTAAAATAAAATAAGGCAGTGCCTGAGGCTCAAAGGAGTAGGGCATCAGCCCCATATATCAGAGGTGAGGGGTGCAAACCCGGCCGAGGCCAGAAACTACAAAAATAAAATAAAAAGGGTACCACCAAAATATGTACAACACTATCCATAGTCTTCAGGTATGTATAACTATTCTGATATGTATGTTCTGAAACACAGAGAAGTAGAAAGTAGTAAGTTAAAAGAGAAGTTCTATTGCTAATAGTTTCTTCCAGCTCCCCAGGCCTGTAGTGAGCAGCCCTAGGTGTGTGGATCCGCTGTGACCACCACACTGACAGAGGATGATGAGCTCCTCGGGGCATCATCTCTGCACATTCCCTTCTGTTCTTCCAACACCTTACTCAATGCACAAACCAGGGGAGGCCTTCAAACTTCAGCAAATGAATAAGAATTACTATTTTCAGATTTGTACCCCCTCAGACAAAAACAAAAGGAGAAACAGGTTACTGAAGCTCAGGCAGACCAGGCCCAGATCACTGGTGAATTCCAACTCCAAGATAGGCTTGGTTTCAAATCCATGAAATGCATCCAAAAATTCTCTGCTACTTAGTGTTTATTGTTAAAGTCCTCAACATAACTGAAATGTTAAAAAAAACAGTCAAGGAAGATACAATCTCTCATCATGTGGTTAAAATTTAACGAAGGTTAAGTATCACAATTAATCATTTACTGATTCAGCATACCACATGAAATCACTGGTGACTTCAGAATTGAAACTAGAACTAATTCAATTTGGGGGCTATGCCCATATAAAAGACTAATTTAACAACTGTATGAATATTTTAGTTACCAAAACAAAGAATTCATGTTAGGGATAATAGGGAAAGCCATCATTCAAAGAAATATGTATCTTCTAAAGATGTTACCACACAGACAAACTGCCCTCTTCTTTGCCCAAGACTGAACACCTTGTCCAGAGCACACTGGACCCGCCAGCCAAGCCAGCCTCCACAGCTGACCATCTGCCCTCCTATGTACCTGCACCTAAGACTCCAGCCTTCTTATTCTTTCCTGGTATCTGGCTTGCAAACCCCTGAAACTATCCCATTCTTATTCTTATATCTCATCATTTTGCAGAACACAGCACACCAAGCAAAACAAAAGCTGAAAAGGCATGTAGACTGGCATCACTGTCTACTTACAGCACCAATCTCGGGATCTCAACACTACTTATCGATTCTTTTGTATATCCCTGCCTCCTGCTCTCCGTAAGATTTCCAACTTGCCACCTTTCTCCTCAATCAGCATCTCTCCCAACAGACCACCATAACTGTGGACCAACCTCAAAAAAAAAAAAAAAATCCCTCCTCCTGCCTCCACCAGGTTCCCTCTTCTTTCAGAACAATTCTCTTGATCCCATACCATCCTCACGTCTCTGGGATCCAATACTTTCTCTCATATATACTCAGCGTCTCCCTCCAGACTGGCTCCTTCCCACAGTTTCTGTTCATAAACATGTTTAATTCTTTCCAGAGTCTTTTAAAAAAAAAAAAATCAACCACATCATTTCTTGGCCTTTTTGCTAAGCTTAAGTGTCTAAAAAAAACAATCACTAACAGTACATATTACTAAGCTCTAATTCTGCCCCAAGTACTGAGCTAAGTGCTAGATAAAGTTTATCTCACTTACTCCTCACAAAACCCTATGATGTTCTATCCTCCCAATTTTACAGATAAGGAAATCAAGGCTCAATGAGAAGTCTCTTGGCCAACAACAAAACATTGATAAGACCAAGAAGGGGAATTCTTTTTGAGTATTTGTAAGTACTTCACTGTTCTGTCTCCAGTTAGCACTAGCTGAATGCACAGTATAGACCCACAACAGTGATGGAGAAGGCAGCTATTACTAAAAGGTTATGCTTAAGAATGAGAAAATGAACCTCACAAAAAGTCAGAAGCAAAAAGATTTGGGCCTGAGCTTCACAAAGATTAGTACTCTGCACCTTGGACACTGGGACTTCTGTGTCTGATCCTTGAGGTGACTATAGCATGAACAACTTTCACACCTTTACTCCAGAGCTCCTGATAGCCCACCTCTGTGTATCTGTGGCCTGCTGCGTCCCATCCTGCCTCCAGTTGACCCATTACTCATCTCCAGTACAGAGAGAGCCTTTATTTAGGCAGTTTCCAGTAACTTCACCTCAAGGGCTCATGGCCACCTTACAGATTTGCTGCCTTTGGGCAAGATGCCAACCCCAATCTTATCAGCTGCAGCTGGCAGAAGCTAGAGAATCAGGTGGCAAAACAGCCACCAAGGAAGACCCCTCTGAGTGGAGCCAGTCCAAAGTGGACCAAGGGTGGCCCGCACCAGAACTGATGCTATCTGGGGCTCACTCCTGACACCTTGACCAGCAAACTCCTACATTCTCTCAGAATCCCACTGCCTCTCTCTCTTAATGGTGAGGTTCTCTTCTCTTTGTGTGCTGTTCAAATCCAAGCCATCATCAGCTCCTGCCTGGGCAAACGCTGTTTAACCTTTTGTAATGGCTCACAAGTTCACAAAAGTACAAATACAGCATGGCCATAAAGTTTGGGTTACATAAAATTAAAAGTAAAATCAAGTTTTGAATAGTTTATCAGAGTATTTTGCATGTAATACAGATATTTACTACTCTGTTTAAATTATAAAAAGAATGCCAGCTGTGATCCACTTAATTTCAAGACCCACTAATGGCCCATCACTTCAGACACTAAAAACGATAGGGCACAGAGGCTAAGCTCAGGGTTTATAATCTGATACCTCTGGGTTCCAGTCCCGGGTCTGCCACTTCCCAGCTGTACAACCTTGGCCAAGTTGCTTAACCTTGCTGCCTCCAGTTCCCTCATCTATAAAACAGGGATAACAGCACCACACTGGGATGCTGAGGGGTTTATGCGAGATGATGGGAGGGAAGGGGACAGCACAGAATGTGGCCTACAGCAAGCAACTAATAAATATTAACTATTAAGGATGATGATAAAACTGACAAAATCCTTATACCCCTCAAGTCCCTCTTGATTCCCTCTAATTTATTCTCGTATCAAAGTGATTCTTCTCTTGCTAAAAAGCTGTGATGTCTCCCAAATTACTTATGATCACTTCAAAATCTTTAACATGTCCTCAAGACCTCTGAGGTCAGGTTTTCTATCTATTATTCCAGGCTTACCTCAAGCCACTATCTCCCTCTCTCACCACTCTTCAGCCTCCTCTTCTCTCCTTTCCTGCTTGTGAGGCACCAAAGCTCCTACCTCAGGGCCCCTGTGTACGCTGTGCCCACTACCTGGACTTCCACTTTTCAGCTGGCTAACACTTCGTTCTTGGCTTACGTGTCAAAACCTTGCCTCTGCCACAAGCCAAGCATATAACAGAGGCTACTAGAAGTATTTGCTGCTGAATGAACTTGGTTTTTGGTTTTGGTTTTTTTTTTTTGGCTGGGGCTGGGTTTGAACCCACCACCTCTGGTATATGGGGCTGGTGCCCTACTCCTTTGAGCCACAGGCACTGCCACGAACTTGGCATTTTTAACACAAACCCAAACCCAGATCAAGACCTTCTTCCGTACACAGCCCACTAGCTGCCCCAATTTATACGAAAAGCCACTGAGACAGTGTTCAGAGGAAAGTTCCTGAATGGTTTTTCCAGTGCTAAGAGGGGCAGAAGGGAGCCCCTGCTCATCACTCTGAGATCTAGAAAAACACCTGCAGGACAGCTGCCCAAAGAAAAGTTAGAGTCCGCAGCTGAAACACAAGCAATACAATGGACTATGGGAAGGAAGACGCCTGACTCTGGCTCTCATTAGCAGGGGGCACTGTAGACTGCTGTTCTGAACACAAGTTTCCTAATTCTGAAAATAGTGTAAGTGGTCAGAATCCATTTTTACCCAGTAACTTGACTATGTAAGAACAATACCAGATGAGAATGGCACATATCCTTCTAATGTCCAGCAGGCATCTTCTAACATTTCTCAGACCTGAAGAATAAAATGTAACACTCCAGCCTTCCAAATCCAAAATTGGATTAATTTATTAACACCAAATTTTCTGTTATACCTGAACTTTTCCATATTCTTCAAAATACACAGAATATACTAATGTTATAATTCAAAATAAAGGTTTGCTGACCTTAGGAAACTGACAATTCATTCACTAATGCTGATAAAGGGTGAACAGGCATTTTAAAGTTTCCTGTGCCTCAATTTGGAAATAGCTTCTGCTCTCTGTTCAATACACACAATTTAAGTTTTAATACAGTTACCACTAGGTGTTTTTGCTTTCAAAATGATACAGAAAATAAAACAAGATGCTATGCTTTTGTCACATTTTAATAACTTTAAAGATAGCTTACTTTAAAAGAAACTTAAAACCCTAAGGTGAACGAACATCTGATCATAAAGCCAGGTGTATAATTGTTCATACACACGTAACAAATTCATAAGAACTCTGTATGAGGATGAAGTTCCACGTGTTCAAAAGAACTGAAATTTTACTTACCTCAAGCCTCAAAGGACTATGTTGTTTTCAGTCCTCAGTGTATTAGGGCACATATAATAAATAATCTAGTGCACGTGATTCACTTAACTGAAGTTTTTATTTCATTGAACAACGACAACGGTTCTTCCTACCAGGATTTACCTGTGCCACAAGATGACAGGTACCATTAAAATACAAATAAAAAACTACCCTGGCATTCAAGAAGAACACAATTTAGATATGTTCAAATGAAAATGATGCCTCAGGGCGGGTCATTATAATCAATTTACACAGAAATGTGGACATTCCCAAATGGTTAATCTGCAAACAAAAACTACTTTTGGCCACTTTTCACTTAACCATAATTTTCAATTAATGAGAACAGCTACTTCCACATTATTCTTTAGTCAAGGGTTTGTGTACATGGCCAGCTACAGGTAGTGACCTGCAGACATCAGAAATAGACCAACATGGCCAAAGCTGTGACCTGGCTCTGCAGCCTGATCTATCGCCAGAACAGCCTTGCCCTTCTTTCTCGTGGCCAGCGAGGACGGCCACCTCTTCCTTCTTACTGCTGACTGCCCCCACCACACTGCCCGTTACTTCCACCTCACTCAGCTCCACAGCAGAGTCTTTAATGGCTCCAAAGTCAGGTAAATTCCTCTTACCATGACATCTTTCTTAGCTCCAGGCCAAGCTTCAAAATCCCCTAAAACAGTTCCTATTAGAACACACCCAAGACATCCAGTGTTTGAGTGTTCTTCGGAAATTAGGTGAAAGTTGTCTTCAGTTTTTCAAGTGGATGGCAAAGACCCGACAGTATCATGTTTGTACACCTTTAAGTGTCCTTTAAAAGACTTATTTTAAAAATTGTTTAAATTTAAGGTGCCAATGCCCATAAGAAGAATCTTTTTTTAAGCCACAGCTTTTCTGTTTATCACTCCCAATTTTGAAAGAAACTCAACATCAAAAAGTCGATGGGAGTTTATATCAGGACAGTAATTTAACAGCATTCTTTCTAAGGTACTAAGACATGACCCTTGAAAGTCAGAAAGAATAACTCAGTGACCAAGATTTGCTATTTTCTTTAACCCTTTATAGGTTTAAATATCACAACTGTTTAAACATCTGTAGTGAAAATCACATTTTCTAAAGTCATTTCTCTCAGCCTTATGACTAGATAAGGCATACAAATATTTTTAAAAGGCTAAATGAGAATAAAAAACAAAAAGAAGTTTGAACTAAGGTAAATAGCAGAGGTGCTTACAGTAACACCAAAACTGGCGACTAGAAAATACCCTGATAATTTATTTAAAATTATATGTAACAAAAGATGCCACAGCTTTTTGAAAATGGAAAAAAAAACCCTCCAATTTTTGCAGCTCATGATTATTACAACACTATTTGAAGTCCCATACAGGCAAAGTCGTTTTTTTAATTTACTTTTATTATCAATAAATATTATACAGTTAAGTCATGGACCTTTGTTATTTCTACTAAATGTAAAACCGTATTTTAAATTACGAAACTGAGGTTGTGAGTAGAGGAGTTTGAACTGTTATAGAAGTTCAAAGAAGTTGTTTACAGACTCACCTGCTCAGAAACAAAGGTTTTTTACATTCCAAATCAACAAATCTAACTTCGATAATTCTGGGTCAGAAGTTTAGAATAGCTCAGAAGAGAATAAAGGAACAAAGACAAGAAGGAACATGGGAAATCCAACTCCAGAAAAAAAACAAGACTAATGGATTCCACTGTCATACCTCCTCCCTACAAAGAACTTAAGAGACAATGAAGTCTTTATTGCTTCACATATTTGGCAGTTACTAGATTCTTAATAGATCTTTAAATCTTTATGTTATAAAAATGGGAGCTAGCAACTACAGCTGGTGCAAACAAAGCTTATTTACTCCACACATATTTCCTATCTAGCCTTTGTCACTTTTAATCAACTTTGAGTTGTGATTTATATAGAAGGAACTGCATCTACTTAAAAGCACACAATTGAATGAGCTCTAACAATTTTATATGTACATAAAACCACTGCCACCACCACAATCAAGATACAGAAATTTCTATCACTCCTCAAAATTCCACATGCCCCTTTTGGTCCCTCTTCTCCTGCACCTCCGGCTCTAGGTAACCAGCGATTTGCTTTACATCACCACAGATTACTGTGCATCTTCTTTTTATGTAACTGGAATCAAACATTATGTACTCATTTTGGGTTTCTTTCCCCCAACTTAATGATCTTGAGATTCACTCTCGTTGTTGTGTAAGTCTGTTCCTTTTTATTACTAGATACTATTCCATTGTATGGACATGCCACAGTTTATCCATTTGACCATGATGGAGTAGTGACATAAAAACTGCATTGTTTTCAGTTTGAGATTATAATAAACTCTCAATAAACATTTGCATGGACATATTTCCATACCTTACTGGAGTTTTAATTTGCATTTCCTGGTAAATAATGGTGTTGAACATATCAATATGTGCTTCTGCAGCCCTTTATATATGTTCTTTTGTGAAATGTCTGTTTAATTCATCTGGGTTTTTTTATTCCTATGGTTGAATTATAAGAGATAACAGAATTTTGGTTAAGATGGCAATGAAACTATGTATCAGTCTGGGGAGAACTAACATTTAAAAAATTGAGTCCTCCAGTACATGAACAAGCATCTCTTCCGTTTACTAGAGTCATCTTTAATTTCTCTCAGGATCATTATGATCTTTTTAGTAAAGAGGGCTTACACAACTTTTGTATATTTATTCCTTAGTATACTGTGAGGTTTTTTTAAATTTTTGAGTAACTATAGAGTTGGTTCTTAAAAGTCATTCTGGTTTTTGCTTCTATTATGTAAACACAATTTTTTTTTTAAACATTAACCATGAATTCTGCACCTTCCTTAATTTGCTTACAAGTTCTGACATCTGCTCTGTGGAGGCCTTAGGATTCCCTACGTACACAACCAGGTGGTCTGCACAGAGACAGCTGTACTTCTTTCCCGTCTTTATGCTTCCTGGTTCTTGTCCTTCCCTTACTGCAAATGAGAATGGTGACGCTGGCTGTCCTCATCTTACTCTCTTACATACAAGTCAAGGGTTCAGAAGTCCACCATTAAAGATGAGGTCAACTGTGGACTTTCTGAGATGAGCAACTAATAGACAGAGAGGGAGGTGCAACACTAATTTTCTCAGTCAACTTAAGGCTCCTGTAAGAAACCCAAATGGAAAGAAAAAAAGCAAAAAATTAAAATTCCCCCAAAATTCCCTACAACAGCAAAACTGCCCAACTCACTCAGCCTCCCCCAAGGTATGGCTACACCTTTTTCTAAAAGTTTACACCTCAGGTATCCTCCTAAGATCTCATAATCAGGGTCTAGAGATGACGAAGACCGGGGGCTATTATCAAAGAGCACACGAAAGGACTTAAAGACTCTATCAGAGCCTCATTAACATAACAGCGAGCTGCTCTGCAGGTAACTACAAATGGACAACACAAATAGCAGTTTACAAATGGATAACTCCCCTGCCAGTGGAAAGTTACTTCACATGTCTGGGATGATGTAAAGTTTCTGGCAAACTAGGAACAAGAATCGTATTTTTTTACTGTAAAGTTCAAATGAAATAACACATATAATCTTCTTAGGGCATTGCCTGGCACATGATGCTGCTCAATAATCATTACCTAAGTATTTGAATTTGATGCTAGAAATGTTTTCTGAGTAGCACAGGATGATACTAGAACTGTAAGCAAAGAGGTGTGAGAGCATGTTACTTAGCTCACTGCTCAGTGTCAGCGCAGAGACAACAACAACCACTGCTAACTGATTTTCAACTTTCAGAACTGACAAATGATAGAAGACTTAATGATGGTCACAGAACAGAATTTAAATATTATTAACTCTGGCAAAATAAAAGTGACTGGGAGTTGAAATCAGAAAATGGGAAAGTTTTATTACTGCACAAGGTATAATGTTCAGACTCAAGAGATGACCACCTCAGATTAATGAGACTAAAAAAAAACCATAAAAACACATTTAGAACTTTCAAGTGACCAAGAGCAGAAGTGGAATAATATAGGTGGGGGGATGGTGGAAGTAAACAAAATCATCATCCAGGGTAACAAGAAATCTACAGATAATGTCTAAGGCTAATAAACTGAAATATAAACATCTTAGACAGAAGTGGCCACCAAAAAAAATTAAATAGCAGAAACAAGTAAAGATCATACACATCCATGAATGAGAATGAGGGGTAAGGTGAGGCACAACAGGTAAGAGTCTCTGCATGTTTTTGAAAAGCCAGGAATATGTATTACTTTGACCAAAAGCTTAAACTTAAAATATGCTTATCTAGATAGTAAAAAAAGCAATGAAACTTAATTAAATCTAAACGGTTAATAACTTGGATTTGAGTCCTAAAGCAACTTTTTAAGGATTCTCCAAATAAAAAGGCAAAAATCAATCCTGAATTAAAATGTTAGATTTTGATAAAACTAAGAGATAGAGAAGGTAGATACAGTAGATACATATACAGTAGAATATCTTGTTTGGAAACAGTATTACAGACACTATTTTATATTTGATACTGACAGATGCCAATTTAAACAGGTTCTTCAAAACTCTAAGAGTATCCTCTAGAGCAGAGTTTTTCAACCTTTTTTATCTCATGGCACACTTGAACCTGTAGTTAAAATTCCATGACACATTTAAATTATGTTGATCAAAAAAAAAGAGTAAAAAAAAGAATATACTTTACTTGTGCTTTGAATTTCTTTTGAAATAATTTAATTAATGATCTTTAAAAATTTTCAAGGCACACCTAAGATCCTTTCATACCAGTTGAAAATTACTGTTCTAGAAAAACGAGCTCTCAAACTGCCAAACCACTATAGCACTGATTCCATCTTATAGGATCTGATGAAATCTATTCAATTTCTATGAAGAAAATCACTCACATAATAAAATTTTGTGTATAACTGACGAATAAAATTAAAAGCTGGCAGCGCCTATGGCTCAAATGAGTTGGGCACCAGCCCCATATGCCAGAGCAGTGGGTTCAAACCCAGCTCTGGCCAAAAAAACTGCAAAAAAAAGAAAAGAAAAGAAAAAGAAAACAAAAAAACTGACAAACTTCTACAACGTCTCACCAAGAAAAAATGAATACACAGGAGTCCTATCATACAAAACATACCATAATGAAGTCCCTCTTAAAATAAAATGTCTTGACTCTCCCTACACCCTTCCAGCTATATGTAATTCTCTGCTTCTCTTTAGAGCAGAACTCCCAAAAGAACCATTCATACTCACACTGTCACCACTTCCCTTTACTCCCAATTTCACCTGAGCCCACTGAAATCGGGCCTTTCCCTCTCTATTCTATGGAAACCATTTCATGAAGCCCAATGTCCTTCAAACTGCCAAAGAGCAAATTTCTGGTCTTCTTAAACACGGCATCTCACCAAGGTTCAGCAGGTTGCTCATTCCCTCCCTGAACTCTGTCTTCACTTGGCTTCCAGGACGTCACAATCCTCTGCTTTCCCACCTACCTCACTAGAAGCCACTTACTAATTTTCTTTGATAAACCCTCCTCCAAACCTCTAAATCCTGGAGCACCCAGGGCTTAGTCCTCAGACTGTTGCACACGCCCCCTGGACCCACAGCTGGGACACAGTCACATGGACTGGCTGGATACTCTCATATTTATATTTCACCTCATCTCCACTTCTCTCTTCAAGTTCCTACTCACGTATCCAACTGCATATTCAAATCACTGCCTAACAGGCAGCTTACCTCCGAAATGTCCAGAAAGTCTGGCTGCCACTACAGCTTATTAGGATGAATAGCAAAAGACTGACAATGCTTAGATCTAGGTAATTTTTATTTTTTTGTTGTTGTTTCTGCATTCTAATTCTTAACCATAAATTCACAGTACTTTATAACCAGAAAACTATTAGAATAACTAACTATGAACAAAAAAGTGTCCTGGTTAAAAACGTAGCTCCCATTTACTTCTATTGTCTTGAGGCCTCCCACAGAATACCAATTACTTTTTCCCCTTTTATAACAGATAGTACTTCCCCCAGTCATCAGCAGATACTCACTTGTTATATATGGTAAATTCATGGGAAATTTTAAAACCCAACAGTCTCTTCACAGCAATTATTAAAGAATAAATAAAATTTTATAGAAACTCTAAAAGATGATGATGTTAGAAAAAAAGGATCCTACTCCGGGAAAAGAAGAGGAAAAGACCCATTGAGTTAGGTTCAGCCACGTGGATAAAGACAAACGCACCTCTGAGACGGGAGTTCACAGCTTAACCAGGCTCCTGGCCTACTTGTCTCAAAGCCCTTTGAAAAGTGTGAAGTGCTAAAGAAACACACAGAATTATGAAAGACAAAAGGAATCAAGTTTTAATTTAGGTTACTGTAACAGTACCAGCAGCACTGGGATATATAATTAAGACTCTACTGACACTATCGACTATATGATCTTCTAAGGTAGCTGACTGAACACTGACTATAACACTAAAAATTCAATAAGCCTAATAAGGATTTTAACAAGGTAAAAAGAAAATATTAAAACTGCACAAGTTTGGACCAGGTGCACTGGCTCATGCCTGTAATCCTAGCACTCCAGGAAGCTGAGGCAGGTGGATTGCTTGAGCTCAGGAGTTCAAGACCAGCCTAAGCAAAGCAAGACCTATCTCTACTAAAAGTAGAAAAACTAGCTGGGTGTTAGGGCAGGTGCCTGCAGGCCCAGCTATCAGGAGGCTGAGAGAAGAGGATCTCTTGAGCCTAAGTGACTGAGGTTGCTGTGAGCTATGGTGCCATGGCTCTGTACCCC